AGTTTCAGTTTTGCTAGATCTAGTTGGGGCATGTCCCAACATTTCTAGTCAGTTTAGAGGCTTATTTCAGACATAGTTAGATTCAGCTTAGTATTTTGAGTTTGATATTTCTTTTGTAATAAACTCTTAAATTTGATATATTCAGCTATAGTATATGGGTATTCCCCATCTTTTCAGATTTATTTATGATTTAGCTTCCGCATCAGTTTATTATCTTTAGTATGCTTATGATCATGCCAGCAGGGTTAGCTTGGGATCACTTGTGGTCCTAGGTCCCGTGTCCGCGTCTCCGGGGTAGTCTCGGGACGTGACAATATATATACACACCAACTTAACTAAGGTCCATTGAATAGTATCCAATAAAGCGAGTAGTGGATGACTAAAGGGATTATAAGGCGAAGAATATCAAAATGGAAGGAGGGTGTAATGTGATTTCAAGATTTAAAGTCGTTACAATTTATTATTACAAAACTCGCCTTAGATTCACATCTGAGTATATTTTAAAAATAACTTTTAGGGATAAGCCAAAGGTCATTTTTCTTATGCATGGTAATTCCAGGCCTAACATTTGTGTCAATATCCTCTTTTTTCATCCCATGAGGTAACTTCCAATCAAATGCATAAAGAAGATTTGATAATGCAAGTTCTATGGATGCAACCCCAAGTGTAATTCCTGGGCAACCTCTTCGACCTGCTCCAAATGGAATTAGCTCATAGTTTTGTCCCTTGTAATCAATGTCGCTATTCAGGAATCTCTCAGGTATAAATTCTTCTGAATTTTCCCATATTCCAGGGTCCCTTGCAATTGCCCATGAATTAACATGAACTATAGTTCCGGCCTGAATTTCATACCCTTCTATTGTAGATTTTTTCATTGATTCTCTTGGCACTAGAAGTGGAACTGGTGGGTATAATCTAAAACTCTCTTTTATCACTGCTTTGAAATAAGGCATATTTTGTATATCATCTTCATTCACAATGCCTTTGTTCCCAATTGACTTTCTGATTTCTTCTTGAACTTTCTTCATGGCTTTTGGATTCTTCATCAAAGCTGTCATTGTCCATACTATCCCAGCCGCGCTAGTATCTAATCCAGCAACTAACACATTCTATATACAAGCAAATAATTTAATTAAAATAGCTATCAAATTATCTTTAAAATAGCAATGTATTGAGTTAAGACATGTGAAATTACCATGAGAAGTCCTTTTATGTCCTCCAAAGTGAGATCAATTGGTATTGATTTCTCTTTCTTCAATTGAAGCAAAAGATCAACAATATCTCCTTCCATGGATTTTGGCCTATTGGGATTTTGATGTTGCTCAATGAGTTCTTCATAAAACTCATCCAATTCCTTGAAATTCTTCTCGAGTCTATCTGTCAATCCAGTAAGTTTATCAATCCAACCTAAAAAAGGAAAAATATCAGACACGAAAAA